CATTGTAAATATGGATTGCCAAAACAAAAGTCGTATAATTTTATAGATCAATGATTGTAGAGGTTGGTTATTTGAAATAAAAAGAACTAGTGAATTGACTGCGCGAATGTTAATTTAAAAATAACTTTTTATAAAAATTACCATATAAAAACTTTAGCAGTATTTTAAAAAATAAAACTTTTTACACATTTATTATGTCAAAAGTGAATTTGGTTAAGCAAATTGTACAAAAAGTTTTATTATCATAGAATGGTGTATGAATCCCTTTATTAATTATGGAAGGATCATCTTTTTCTATCATCTGAATATAAAAAAATATATATATTAGCAAATTTTTTGAGACCTTTAGTTATCGATATTTTGTTATGTTTCGAGAAAAATTACTAAAATATTGTTTTCATTGATTTCAATATTTTTAATGATTTTTTAGAATCTATCTTTATTTTATTAAAATATTATATTTATTTCTCATATAACTAATTGTTTGGATTATTTCTTTGTATAGTATAAGTGTCCACACTTATTTACGTACATATCATTCTTTAATTTAAGTAGGTACATATTTTTAAAAGAATTTCTTAAAAAAATGGAACTTTCTACTTTTATTGCTTTTCCCTATTCTAAGACACAAGAAAAGAAAGCAAGAGAGAAATGAGAAAGCTTAAAAAGAGAAAACAAAGGTTGCTAGTTGCTAGTCTACAACCTCACCCAACCCAACCCCTTTTTCTGTAAATAAATTTTTTTATTACCAAGTATTTTTATATAAATCCGAAAAACAAAGTCTCCTACAATAAAACCTGAATTTTTCTAACTAATGATTTTCCTACAATATGAAAGTTAATGGTTTTCCTATTACGTTCAATTGTTCGAATTATCAAGATATAAAGAAGACAATTGTTATCCATATACTCCTGAAACACTAATAAATAAGACATTTAGGGACAATAGGAGGATTCACTTACAAAGTCGACACCAATGGTGCTAATGGAACTCATAAGATTTGAATCATTCTTGAAACCAGAGAAATACAAATAACAAAAATACAACATCTTTTCTTCTATAAAGATTGTTAAACTTTACAATGTAACTACATGTCAATCTAAAAAGCAAATGAACTATGTAAATGAAAAGAAAAAGAAATTACGTTGATGACAAATTCAAATCAGCAAATCAAAGCTTAATGAAACAGAAGAAATTACTGAATCCTACATAGTTGAACATCGGCCATCCGCAAAAATAGTCACCAACAAAGGTGAATTTATAGGATCGGAAGAGGAGCAGTTAGAGGAGATGAAAAGGTCTGTAACTGAAATGTAATTTATAATGTTTAATCAAGAAATATATCTTTTCAGTTTTTTAACATAGCACATACAGTTTTTTAATATAGCACATTGGCCATCCGCAAAAATAGTCACCCATACGAAAGGATAATGTTTAATGAAGAGTCATTTCTTCTGGGTATTTTGATATATAACATATAAATGGAACAAAAACTCAAAAAATCGAGAAATTAGATAAATACATTTCCTAGTATGTAAGAGTTGCTACATCAGCATCTTTTTGCAAATATTGATTCGAATATACTTCGATAAGAGGATTTCGGTCCAACTCCAAAGTAACGTAAATCTTGAAGCTCAAAATACATCTGACCCCGATTGGCTTGTTAGATTAACTTAAAACAAAATAACTACAATCACCAATTGCTACATAGTACTAAAATGTTAATCAAGCAATTTGCTGTAATTAACATATTTGGCTAAAAAGCGTACCAAATTTGCTAATTCAGCAATAGCATATACAGTACTATTTACTTCCGGAAAAAGAAATCGGAGAGCAGGCAAGAAAAGTATCATAAAACACCATAAAAAAAAATATTTATTTGAGATTTGGGTAGGGACCGCGTTCGTTGGGTAGGGACCGCGCGAACGCAGGCCCCCGCTGCCACAAATTATGACGTAGGCTCAACCACTTGGGTCGACCTTAGGCAAGCACCCCTCCAAAGTGCAATGACGGTCACCAACCTAGGCCATGAGTCTTCATGATCACCCATTGACCCCGTCCAGGTAAGTATGTTTCAAAGTTGCTCCCTCCTCCCCTTTTATATTACTCCAGCACCTTGCCTGCATTTGATTTTGCCGGTGTGGGATAATGCTCACACACTTGTTTCACAAACTAAGCAATAGCTTATAAAAAGAGTCACTTACTTAAATTACCATAATGCTTGGACAATCGCAAATGTAGAATTTCCTTTACAATCAGTTCCCTTCAGATATTCAGTTTTATATAGGCACCAAAAGAACAATAAACAGATTTTCTTTTCATATGCAAATATAGAATTTCCTTTGTGTTGTGGAAGTTTGCATAGCACAAGGACAAAATGTTAGTAGAGACAATGCCCCTGTTGGTTTTGTTCTTAATATGTTTATTGACACAACTAATAATAGAATCGTTAACCTAAGATTAACTTTTAAAATATGAAGGATCTCCATTTTCCTTAGGCGTACCTTTTCTTTGAGTGGTGAAGGTCTACACCCTGGTACTGACTAGTGAATCAGAACCCAGAATCACTTCGTCCAAATGTATATTTCGTTTCTTCTTTTGTTTAATTATCTGTTATTATTAATCACAATTTTATGAAACTGCAGCAAGACAAACCAAGGACGAAACTCCAGCCAGAATTGGTGCAAGAATGAAACTAAAGATGGAAAGTTCAAATTTGGAGTTGTTTGAAGTGGTATATAATGAGGTGAAGCTAATCTAATTAGGAAATTTTACCTCCTATAGCAAACGTACACACCCTATTTATTATAAACCAAAATTATTTTAAAATATTATTTTCTATAGCTACCTTTTATATTTTATAGCAAAATAAGTATTTATGGTATATACTACCATTGAGGCATAAAATAAGGCATGCAATACGCTATTTATGTTTTTTCTTTCTTAGACAGCTGGACATACCTATTTTTAAGGTGATTGTCGTTACTGTATTCATGAATATATGGCGCGAATACATGTGAATACATGCGCGTACAGCTGGACTGCCCTGATTTTAAGTGCTTTTTACTGTTGTATTCATGAATACAACAACGCGAATACATATGAATACATGCGCAACTGGACTGCCCTGATTTTAGGCGCTTTTTGTTGTTGTATTCATGAATACATGGCGTGAATACATGTGAATACATGCGCGTACAACTGGACTGCCCTGATTTTAGGCGCTTTTTACTGTTGTATTCATGAATACAGCAGCGCAAATACTTGTGAATACATGCGCGTACAGCCGGACTGCCCTAATTTTAGGCGCTTTTGTTGTTGTATTCATGAATACATGGCGTGAATACATGTGAATACATGCGCGTACAACTGGACTGCCCTGATTTTAGGCGCTTTTTACTGTTGTATTCATGAATACAGCAGCGCAAATACTTGTGAATACATGCGCGTACAGCTGGACTGCCCTAATTTTAGGCGCTTTTGCTGTTGTATTCATGAATACATGGCGCGAATATATGTGAATACATGCGTACAACTGGACTACCCTTATTTTTAGGTCTTTTTTGCTGCTGTATTCATGAATACAGCAGCGCGAATACAACGAATACACTACCGTAACAACTGAATATTAGCTATAGGAAATTAATAGCCACTAAACAATAGTGATTTGTGAAAATTCCTTATCTAATTAATTCATTTCGGGATAAAACTAGGCAGAGATGGCCCGTACCGGCATGAGCCCAATACTGTGAAAATAGGAGGGGAACTTTACATAACTGTCACAATTTAAAAGAAATATAACAAATTTGTAGCATGAAATCCAATATTACAGTTGTGACAGAAAAATATTTATATTTGTAGCTCACAGTTCCATTAAAATAGGAATATTAATATTAATCTTTAAGCATAAGCAATTTGAATAGAAAGTCAATAATTCTTTTGTTCAAAAATCATGCCTTTTTTCTCTTTATCTATTAGCTTTCCTTGTTTTTCTTCATCTTCTTAATTTTATTTTCTGCCGAAGCCAATATATTTTCTAAATTTGTTCCATTCGTTTTCTTTTTAATTGTCTTTCTTAAGTTTTTCTCTTCCTTCTTTCTTCCTTTCTTAACATAAAGATCTTACTTCGATAATAATATACATTAAAAATATATATTGAATTAACACATATAAAATATACAAAAAATATACATAAAAAATACATCTTCAGTTAAGATGACGCTTAGACATTTGAAATATACATTAAAAATATATATTGAATTAACACATATAAAATATACAAAAAATATACATAAAAAATACATCTTCAGTTAAGATGACGCTTAGACATTTGAAATATACATAAAAAAAAATATCTTAAATTTAATTAAGATGGCATATAAATATACAAAAAACATATATATATAAAATACATCTTGACTTAAAATGGCACTTGACATATAAAATATATTTGAAATATACATTAAAAATACATCTTAAAATAAGATGGCACTTCACAAATAAATATACAAAAATTATATACATAAAAATACATTTTGAATTAAAGTGATACTTGATATACAAAGTATAAAAGACGTATAAACCAATACATCTTGAATTTAGGTGACATTCACATATGCATCAGATTTTAAAAAATGGAGTGAAGAAGATGAATGTTGAGCTTAATTTTTATAATATGCTAATAATGAAAAAAAAAAGTGTTCTTTATGGAATAAACAATAAATGATGCTATTTTTTTAAATAATAGTTAAAAAGGGATCAAAGTGTGTAAAAAACTCAAATAGGAATTACCTTAGTTTTGACACAAAAGTGTAGATAGAAGAAATTCAAGTATCCAATTCTACCAATCCAATTCCACCAAACTACAATTTCTCTGATGCTAGTCCAAGTGAAAATATATTAGCTTCAGTAATGGTCTACAGCAGATGCATAACCGGTTTAACATAGAAAAAAAGTGCAGACCTTATTGCTCTGCATTATAAAGAAGGGCCTCATTTTTGGGGAAGATGTATATCAAATAATTAGTACTCTTCAGATACAAGGTTATAGATTCACATGAATGCAGTAATACAAAACCTTTTCATTGTCATTTACCAACAGATTTTGACATTGTTCCACATCAAATAGATAGCGGATCTTATTCATAGCAAAGCAAATCACAAACTATGAGCTTCTCAAACTTCTACTTTGGATATTTCTAGCAAAGTATACTGTTCTTTCTCCAACTGCAGGTATCATTTTGCTGGTTTGGTTGACAAAGTGGACCTTTGAGTGAACTGTCCACCAAAAAAAAATTGTGACCAATAAATTTGTCCTTTTTTTAGCACAAGGACTCCGTCACTTTCTACGAAAATAATGACAAGAAAGTATGGACATGCACCTACCAAACTATACCTTCCTTTTTCTTTTTCATTTGGTTTCAAATTTCATAAATAACAGCTATAAGGCTACCAGAAAGGTTTACCTCTCATCCCTGCTACCTGAAACTTTCAAGCGTTTAGCAGAATTAAAGGGGAAAAAAAAAAGACGACATTGTCAAGTGATTTAATTCAATGAGTGATAAAGCTTGACAATATATCCAAAAGATTATGAAATATCTACACTTGTCGAGCATTTCCAAAACGGGGCACTTTCATCTTCTATGACAGAAACTTATAGCATACTGGACATAAGGTAATGCATCCACTTCGATGATCGATCACTTTACCCCCCTTACACTCTAACGAGCTTTCTTTTTCTTCTTTAAACTCTCTTGATAAACATATTTGAACCAGTCAGTTGCATGAGGTAACCAAGTGAGATATTTATCTAATCATTAAAAATACGGAAAAGTGTCAAATATATCCCTCTACTATTGAATATTGTTTAAAGTTATCCTCCGTTATGCTATTCGATCGAATATATCCCTACCGTCTAACTATTAATCAAATATACCCTTAATTTGACGAAGAGGCCACGTGGAGGGCTTCTGATCCATTTTATGCCCTGTTACCCCTAACCCATAACCCGATCCTTCTCAACACTTAAAGAACTAAACTCTCTCTGGGTTAGGTTCAATTGTGATCAAGCCAAAGGAGTTTGACGAGACAAACTTGTACATCAATTATTTGCCACATGCTCTTGATGATGGTGGTTTGATCAATTTATTCTCTCTTTTTGGTATCATTGTGATGGCTAAAGTTACAAAGGACATTCTAAGTGGTCTGAGTAAAGGTTATGAATTTGTTAAGTATGCGAATATTCAACAAGCTAATAGTGCTATAGCTAGCATGAATGGAGAGTTACGGGTTCTTCGAGAGCAGCAAATTCTTGGAACTATTGCTTCCGAGCTCAATCTAAGCTTCTCCAATTGATCTCAATTTGTAACCAAAGATTCTCAACCAAAATTCGAACAAAGCCCAGTGATTAATTCAAGGAAGCTCAGGTTGTCTTCTTCGCGGAGTCAACTCTAATTTGTTCGATCTAACTTAACCAAAACTTCACAAAATGCACTCAGATTTTACCCACAACTTCTGTACAATGATACGAACAAGACCCAACAAACAATTTGAGCAATAAGAGATGAGGTCAAGAAACCCAGTGCATCTTCTCCACATATTAGGCTTCAAAAATTTTCGATCAAGTTATTGTCAAATCAAATCCAAATGCATTTAGATTTTGAATTCAGGTTCTATCAAGCTTTTACAATAGATTTAAAACTCATCCAGTCGATTTTGATTTAAAAACTTCAGATCTAAGTTCTGAACCAAGCTCAAAGTTGAGTCAATGGTGATCGAAACACCTTTTTTTTTCTTTCTTTTCTCCAATAATGTTCAATCACGAATTTCTTTTCTGTACAATGATACGAACAAGACCCAACAAACAATTTGAGTAATAAGAGATGAGGTCAAGAAACCCAGTGCATCTTCTCCACAGATTAGGCTTCAAAAATTTTCGATCAAGTTATTGTCAAATCAAATCCAAATGCATTCAGATTTTGAATTCAGGTTCTATCAAGCTTTTACAATAGATTTAAAACTCATCCAGTCGATTTTGATTTAAAAACTTCAGATCTAAGTTCTGAACCAAGCTCAAAGTTGAGTCAATGGTGATCGAAACACCTTTTTTTTTCTTTCTTTTCTCCAATAATGTTCAATCACGAATTTCTTTTCTGTATAATGATACGAACAAGACCCAACAAACAATTTGAGCAATAAGAGATGAGGTCAAGAAACCCAGTGCATCTTCTCCACAGATTAGGCTTCAAAAATTTTCGATCAAGTTATTGTCAAATCAAATCCAAATGCATTCAGATTTTGAATTCAGGTTCTATCAAGCTTTTACAATAGATTTAAAACTCATCCAGTCGATTTTGATTTAAAAACTTCAGATCTAAGTTCTGAACCAAGCTCAAAGTTGAGTCAATGGTGATCGAAACACCTTTTTTTTCTTTCTTTTCTCCAATAATGTTCAATCACGAATTTCAGCTCCCAATAATTATATTCTACAATAATATTCAACGATTTTCAGAAATTTGAACTCAGATTTGCACTTTCAAAAAAGGAATTCTAAGTCGTTTATTAAGAACGTCAAAAAACAAAGAGCATATTTCTATTTTTGGGAGTTTTCGAGCAAAGGAATTTGTTCAGTTATTTAGCTGTTGGGAAGGGTCAGGTTAAGTTTTGGGTATCGGGTATTGAGCATGGGTAATGGGTTGGGGCATAAGATGGCTTAGAAGCCCTCCACGTGGCCCTTCTGTCAATTTAAGGGTATATTTGATCAATAATTAGACGGCAAGGGTATATTAGATCGAATAGTATAACGGAGGATAACTTTAAACAATATCCAATAGTAAAGGGATATATTTGACCATTTTCCGTTAAAAATAACTTAAGTGCAAAATAAAAAAAAAGTTTAATATGTTATACAATATTACCGGGTATTTGTAGAAAGTAAAATGAAAAACTACAGTGTTTAAGTCAGAAGTAGGTAAAAAGCTGTAAAACTAACCTGCGGGAGAGACCAGACCAGTCTGTTAAAGATAAGAAACACTACAAGAATGAACCTTCGCTTGTACTAACAGACTCAAGGAGACATCTATTTACCAGAGCTAGAAGACGATCCTCAGCTCCATCTCATGGCAGCCTCAAAGCTACTCAAACCTTCAGCAACTATATCCAATAAACCCCTAAACACCACGCCTGGCAGCCACATACACCAAACTTTCACAAATTTAAAGTCAGGATAATAACAGCAGACTTAGATAGGCAACCCTGAAGAAGGCATTGATTACTCATTCCAAACATTGCTTCTGCACACATATTTTCAAAGTTCATTGGAGAAAGGCTTGAAGCTTTCTGTTGGCTATTTGAGAGAGAGAGAAGAGATAACAGATAAGATATCTCTTTTTCCTAAATTTTTAGGAATCAAATTGGAAAAACATCAATAAACAAGAGAAAATAGATCTCATGATATGATATCAATCTCATGATACGCAAACTATAAAGTACAAAATAGATCTGGTTAGATCAATAGAAACTGTAGTGAATACTTTAGACAAAGACAGTTCAATTGGAACAGCTAGATAATCAATTTTTAAAGAGTAAAATTGTACAGTTAAAATTACATTTAAAAGGAACACCGTTAAAATTTGATTGAGTGGCGGAACAGCGAGAAAGTGCCTCTGATGTCAAACATTTGTTACTTGATTACCCTACCCAACTTACGTCAAAAGGAAATTCAATCAGAAATCATTTCTAGATTGGTCCTACTTTAAACTCTAAATATGATAGGAGAGTACTTGAAGTACACAATGGCCATTAAGCGTCATGCTGAGACCAACTTATCTGAGCATTAGCAATGGGCTTAGCGATTGGAAGAAGAAAAGAAAAAGAAAGTGTGGTGAAGATGAATTTACCGCAGAACTGTGTGCTCCTCTGCAAAAGGTTATCTGATCAGTTAGCTTGGTTCCAAAAAGCTGAGAACAACTTAATTAGAAGCCCTACTCCTTCAATTCATCACAAAAAGAACCTAGAAAATATGCTTCAACCATCAAAAGCACAAATTGGCAAATATCAGTATCGATCCAAATTGCAAAGCCCCAATTAATATAGACTATATAGTTACAGGTGTTGGCCAGTCAAGAAATTCCATGCCCAGAAGATGAAAGTAGCAGAAATGAGGATATTGCGATTGATGTGTGGGCCTACCAGAAAAGATAAGATTAGGAATGAATATATTAGGGACAAAGTAGGTATGGCCCATGTGGAAGAGAAGTTGAGGGAATCGAGGCTGAGATGGTTTGGTCATGTGAAGAGGAGAGACGTTGGTGCCCCGGTTAGGAGGTGCGAGAGGTTGCCAGTGGCGAGTCAGAGGAGGAGTAGAGGGAGGCCTAAGAAGAACTGGGATGAGGTGATTAAGCAGGGCATGGCTCTGCTCCAGCTTACCGAGGACATGACCCTCGATAGAAAGGTGTGGAGGTCGAAAATTAGGGTGGTGGGTTGATAGACAGTCTAGAGGTTGCCTTGTCTTACTAGTAGTAGTTGTACTAGTCGGGTACCTTCCTATTCCTAGTCCCTTGTTTATATACGGTATGTCAGTATTAGCAGTGAGATTGGCACTATTCTTGTTGTTTCATTTCCATGAATCTCTGTCATTATCCGTTGTATTATTTGCTTACATTGTCTTATTACATTGTTGTTGCTATTATTTCTTTATTGCTCCATTTTATTTTATTTTTACGTTCTTGAGCCAAGGGTCTTTCGGAAACAGCTTTTCTACCTTCATAGGTATTGGTAAGGTCTGCGTACACACTACCCTCCCCAGACCCTACTTGTGGGATTCCACTGGGTTGTTGTTGTTGTTACAGGTAACAAAATGAACCAACAAAAGTAACAAAATAGAGGATAGAACTAACCTTGAAATACGTGATAACCTCAAATGGATCCAAAATTAAGGTTTGAAAGTCGGTCACTCAATTTCGCAGAATCTCTATTTTAAAAACTTCTTCGAGTTTCCACATATTGAAGCTGATCTATTTAGTTGTCGAAATGTAACTACTACTACTACTTAAAAAAACACAAGTATTAATGGAGTGACACGCAAAGGAAAAGATCAGGTGATTCCAGAGGCAAAGAATATAGAAAGAGTGAGAACAAGAGCTGGAGCAGAATGCTCTAAAATCTAGATGAAGAAAACAATCGAGAAGATAGATAATTTGCGCAACGTGGCAGTCTACTTACAGATTAAGAGACAAGCATAATCCAGTGCTACTAAAAGTCTAAAGCCGTGATTTGAAATTTATTGCCTTTAAGCACACACGTCGAAACTCTTCATGTTTCTATATAATAGAATAGAAATATGTATAGTGCCAAATTCAAGCATGAATGACACCGGAGAGCAACCAGCAAGCTCATCCATCATGAAGAAAAAAAAGCATTCTTGTTGTTCACAAGAAAAGCTAAATACAATACCCAGCAATTTCAGCTACAAACCATGTGATAAAAATCATTGTTAATTTATGGTAATGAGTAAACAAAGACAGTAAAACTTATTGTTAGACTGCAATGGTCTCAAACCAAAATTATTGAGGAATAAAGAGGCCACCTGTGATTACAAAGAGGGAAGGCAACTTATAAGTTATAACTGTTGGAGGTACATATTCTGAGTGAACACATGAAGGATTTTACAACACTAGGAAAATTTGATTAAAGAAGACAAGGATAATCTGAAATGCAGCTTAGCTCTCCCAACTCTCCATCAGCTGAGTGGAGAAACTAAGCACCATGCAGTCGACATTTGTAGTTGAAATGCTATTACTAACTCCCAAATATCAAAGTTCTCATGAGCACTTGGATGCTTGAGTTGCGGGAGAGATAATTGACCATTATCATTTATCACTTTCAAGCAGCGGTATAGTATTCACTCAGCCAGCCAGACCCAACTAAATCAACTGGCATCAGCAATAGATTCTTTCTACATAACAAAGCCTAGCTAAGCTTCATAAGTACGTCACTGGCGGAGCTGACATTTTCCGGTTCCAGCACAAACTGAACACTCGTCTGCTTTCCCAGCAATATGATTTAAGCAATGCTTGATTCTATCATTCACAACGTCCTGTAATAACAATCTTCTAGAATTAGAATTTTAACCTATTAGCTTTCTATAGAAGAATTTCAAAGAGAAAATATTTGGCTGTTTCTAAGGCCTCATTTGTTTGCACTTAATGGAGGTCTGAATCTTAATCATTCAAATCTCAGACATTAAGTGCGTTTGTTTTTAAAATTTTAATCTTAATTATTTAGATCTTAATCATTAAGTGTGTTTGTTTAATTTACTTCACAAACACTTAATGGGTCTGAATAGGCATGTACGATTAAGATCTATAACAAAGACTTAATTTCATTAAGATGCTATCATCCACATTCATTACTAACTGCCACCACCGCATACCATTATTAACTATCACCACCGCCACCACCCTCATCCTCAACCATAGCTGCCACCACTACCACTACCACCAACCCCCACCCCCACCACTATCATCCCCAACCATAACCACACACTCACCCACCTCAACTACCACAACCAACCACCCCATCACCATCAATAACCATAGCTGGCATCGCCCACCATTATAAACTACCACCAACCACTATCACCTTCCTCAATCACAACCGCAATCACCGCCACCACCCACCATTATTAACTATCACCACCACCACCACTATCCTCAACCATAATCTCTATCGCTACCAGTTACCACTAGCTACTACCTAGAACCACCACCATCAACCAAAACCACCACCAACCACCACCTCTAGTCGGCACCCACAAGCACTT